GATTGAGTGTGACGGATGTGCACTGTGAGGGGGGAGAGGAAAGCCGACGAAGGAGAGCGTTGTTTGCTGGGCAACAGAGCGCCGGCAAAATACAGTAGATGCCATAAGGAATTTTCAAAAAAACCAAACAAGAAACTCACCACGATTCTGGATCAAATTGGCCTGGCATTAGAATGGCGTAAAGGGGCGTAGAGAGCGAAATTGGCACATGGTCCTCAAGATGACGTGAAAGCCAAATTGCTCTCCACAGCGGTCGGCACGGAAGTTTCTGCAGCCGACTTGGAAGCACTGTAAGATCGGGATCTGTTGAAAAGATCCGGATCTATATAGGAACTGGCACATCGCGGCGAACAACTTTTCCTTTGCAAATGCTTTCATGGGACTCCTTCATTTTTTAATTCATTTTTTAAAACAAAAAAAGAGCAGGGAGACGAGAGAACATGGGCAGTGTGAAGGCCAGTGGATCAGGGCAGCGACCAGGGTTGTGACCAGGGCATTTATTGACAAGCCAATGACTAATAGGGCCTGTAAAAAATTACCGGCGAAAATTTAGGAGCAATATCAAATCCGGATTGGACTGCAGTGCCCCCGTAGGCACACGTTACCGTACGTCACACCCCGTAAGTAACAGTTGCGGAGCAGTCAATTACACGTGTAGCACCATTCTCATTTCTGTTCTGGCGTTGTCCACGTGTAGTGAAGAAAAAAACTTTTGAAAATAATGTATTCGGAATGGGATTTCAACGACAGGGAAAATAAAGGACCCTTCTACTGTACGGGGTAAACGGTTGGGCCCTCATTTTACGGCCAAGTCCACGCAATTTAAGCCAAGCCCGCCGAAAACCAGACCCACGTCTTACCGTTGTCTCCGGCTTCCCATGATCCGCCCCTTAACAGACTTATCCAGCAACAACCTTTTTACCATACCGAAGACATTCCCATGTCTAGGAAAAAGCGAAATACTCCATTCCAACCAGGCCACTCCCTCCTTTACGGCCTTCGTCCCGTGCAGAGGGATGACACTACTCAGGCTGTCGTCTCCGTCGCATGCAGTTTTTGTGAAAAGTTTGGACGCGAGGAGAAGGCCGGCGCAAAGCGCAGAGCCACTCAAAGGGTCAAACATTTTAAGCAACCATTCCGAACTGAAAACTACCATCAACACCACTCTGGTCAGCATCGCACAAGATGGGCTGAATACAAACAACTTACCGCAGAAAAAAAAGTCGCTTATCTCTCCTCCCCTGGTGAGATTCAGGGTCACGAGGCTTACGCCCATATATCAGACTTAGTTAACGAAACCCCAGAGGCGGATGTCGCCCCCACTTCCCGTGCATCCAGCCCAAACGTCCCACCATCAGAGCCGGTTGCCAAACAAAGACATGTCATTCGCGCGGGTCCGCGAAAAGAATCAGGCGGTCAAATGCCCATCTCCTTTTCGGTTATTCAACCTATCGTAAGTCTTATCGGCGATCTCTTCGTCGACACGATTCATGAGAAGACAACCAAAGAGCGTGCCATCTCAGGCTTTACCACTCAAACTCACCCCGGCATCAACGATTACTGCGTCAAGATTGCAAATTTGACACTCTTTGATGCTACCATCGCCTTCATTAGCAATGGGGCCACCCCACGAGTCGCCACGGCCTTGGTTTCAGAAATGTTCCGAGCTACATCCACGACAGTCCCTCCTACTCGCCTCGTATCTGATCTCTCCGAGGCCAGATTGGCTGCTTACATGCGGTGCGTCATCGCGTACAATCTGCAGACCTTGGCTGACGTTCTTCGTCAAAAATGGACGTTCTCACTTTCCTTTGCAGAAGTCAAGCACGAAACCAATCACTACATAGATGTTGGTGTTCGCTTCTGTCTCGGTGATGACTTGCATGCGTTCCACATTTTGTGCTGTCCGCTTCCGAACCGATTCAACAAAGATGAAATAGTGAGGTCTATTTACGCAGTCCTCGACGCCCTGCACCCGTCGTGGAAAAAGTCCATCATCGCTGTCTCTACGGATGGTGCAGAAGCGGCAGAAGTAGCGGCCCAAGAACTTCTCGTTCACCTGCGACCGGAGAGCTCAGGAGCTCTGATGCATACGTGGTCCGGTGCCCATCAACTTGACCTTCTTGTTTCATCCACAATCCGGACAGTCCTCGACGAGTCTTACTTCAGCTCTCTTAACAATCTAATCACTTTTCTGCACAGCCAAGATTCGTTCATGGCTGAGACCAAATCGCCATGCCCCAAAGCAACTGTATCAAGTTGGCTGTCCATCTGGGCTGCACTTGAATGGCTCAAATTGTATCGTATCCGAATAGTAGAAGTGTTAGAAGAAAAGAAAACTGGATTCGAGCCCAGTGCGCCGTGGTGGATTCTTTCAATGGGTCTTCTCGAGTTTGTCCGTGCTGTAGCAAAGACATACAATCGTATCCAGGGGTTTACCAGGTTACTCTCCAAACAGGTGTCCCTCTTGTCCGAGCTCTTGCGTACTCTTAAGCGGTTGTCGGGATGCAAAGGACCTATCACTCGTGATGAACTCGGCCTCCTCAGTCAATGGGATCTCATCACCGATGGTAATTACGTCGTTCGGAAAACAACTGTTCAATCTTTTCTAACTGGGCTTGGTTCATTTGTATATGTTTCCGCAAACGAACTTCCGCAGAGCACTGTGGACGGTGTTGTCCATGCTGTAAGCACACTATTTTTGTCTTCCATTGTTGGTTTAGCATCGATAGTCGAATCGCGCAAAGAACCATCAGCAGGCGCTGATGAACTGTGCCCTGTTCTCCCAAACGAACTTGTCAAGCTGTCACGCACAGACTTCAACAGAGTACTTCGGAGTCATGCTGATCGCCTATCTCCGAAGATGAGCTGTGAAGACCTTGACCGAACGGAAGAAGAGTTTGGGCGATTGACAGAGGCCTGTTACAGGGAGGATGTTTTCAATTCATCAGTGCAAAATGTTAAGAGCTACTCGACATTTGCAAATGCGTGGGGAATGCTTAGGGGTCGTTTTCCTCTCCTTTACGAATTTTGTGGTGGAATCGGATCAGGTTATCCGGGTTCTTTTTCAAAATCTGTGAACTTTAGTGTGAAAGGAGGCCACACAGAATTGTTTCGAATTAGGGGCATGACGGATTTTCCATTAGAGGGATCCCTCCACTGCCAGCAGTACCAGAAGCTAAAAGGATTAACGATGTCATGCACACCGAATGAAGTTGCAATCAGTTCACACTTGTGTCGGTGATCATGGCATCATATTTCCGTTTGAGAAACAGACAGCTAGCGTCTAGTGTTTTTCATGACATGAAAAGGATGTGAATGAAGTAACCCTGAGCGAGCACCTTGACGATGAGACTCAAACTCTAGATATGCTTTTCACATTGCTGCTTAGCCAGCGGCTCAATTCTGCATAGGCTTCACCAGGGCGATCGTCAATGACTTGGTGTGTCGCCGTAGTTCTGGTGGCTGGTCTTTCGCGATGTAAATTGTAATTTATACCTCTACATGGTGAGCGAGTACGATGCTTCTCCCAAAGAGACAAGTCACTTAACAAGGATCTGCATCGAAACAGAATCACAAATGTCCAGGACATAGCGCTATTTTAAAAGTTTACTGTTTATTCGAAGAAAATCAAAGCTTGAAGTCGATTTTACTGCTGCAAACCTGCAAAAGTTGGTTGAAGTGCTGCAGCCGCGGACTGCGTCCAGCCGATTTGCGGAACTGTACGCCCCCCCATCCCAGCACCACCTCCCGGCGGCGCCATCAGCATGGGTACACCAGCATCGGCGGCTTGGCTGGGGTTAAGACCAAAGAGCAGTACTGAGGGATCGTCATTGACTTCATCGTCAATCTTCTTTTTCTCGTCTTCGTCAATTTCTCGTTTCTCCTTGCTCTCTTCCTCAAGGCCCATTAATCTCTGACCAATTTCTTTCATTGTTTGAATCATGAAAGGCATCGCGTGGTCCATCACGTTATATCGCCACGACAGTTCCAGTGCCATATCTGGTCTGAAGAACTCGAAGCAGGTATACAGAATAGTGGTGAAACACTCCAGAAGCTGGTTTTCCAAAAAGAAAGTTGCTAATTCTTCAGTCAGTTCGGCGTCCTCAGATGCCGCAACAGACTCCACGGCATCCTTGTACAATTTGTCTCTCTTGGAAACCTCAATTGCCTGTTCGTATTTGCCGTTGCGCCTAAATAATGTGGCAGAAATTCGACGCAGTTGAATGAGTTCATGCTTCTCCAAGCGCCGCGCAAGTACGAATTGATCGAAATTGTCGTAAGAATCAATGCTTGTCTCAAGTTCGTCCAGGGAACCCTCAGCAATGAGAATATCATTCAAGGCATCGTTCACGTCTGGGACATTCGACTCTTGCACCTTTAGCAGGTACCCTTTGCATAGAGGGAGCAAGCCCAAGTCTCCGAAACGATCTGCATAGGCTCGTCGAAGAATTGAAATTACGCGCGAAGACTCCACTTTCGGAGCAAGAACAGATAACAAGTCATTCAAGAGTTCTGGTTGTTCGTCAATATAGAACTGTATTGATTTGTACATGACTTCCAGATTACCAGCCTTCGCAATAACTGTTGTAAATCCGGAGGGATTCCATGCGTCCGGGGAGTGATCAATCATAACCAAAGCCGCGTTGTCAAATTCGTTATATTGAGAATGCAAGTACACCATTTCGCTCCACAGCATCGCTGCTTCACATGCTCGAATAAGTCTTGGAAGGTTACATCGCTGCCACCACATCTTGCAATGCTCTAGCATTTGCCTGCTTCGGTATTTCGTAAGCAGGACACCGAGTTCTGTGAACATCGAGGTGTGTGCTCTGTCCAAGGTAAGCCCCTGTTCGAGCAGGTCGATGATCTCCTGAAAATGCCCACGATCCTGGTAGTAATCAATACAATCCATTAACTCGTCTGCCTCAACAACAACGTGTAACCCGCAAATCTGCGCAAGGCGAAACTCCTTCGAATCCACGCATGCAAAGCAGACTGCCCTCCAAGTGCGAACGCGATCTGCCTTTCTCGCCGCCTCAACAGCTCCCTGGAAGTCGCCAAGGCGGACAAGGACAGGCGCAAGCTTTCCGTAGTTGTTAACGGCAGAGAAAAGAAGCTTTGCTGCCGCGTAGAGCTCATCGTCTGCGCATCGGTCTCCTGCTTCCTCAAGATCGCCACCATGCGGTTGAGATATAAATTCTTCAACCTCGGTCAATCTGCCGCACTTGCACATGGCGTACAGAATCTCCGTATCGACAAGGCGAATGTCTTTGACCTTGTTGCGGGCAAACTTCAGGAACTTAACCACCAACTCATAATCCCCCGGACTTCCGCCTTTGCGAGCAGCTTCAATCACAGACATGTAAGATGACGGATCTTTAGACTTGATTAAAGAGTTGACACCAGCCGACATCTGTCCAGCCTCAAGCTGCTTCACACCGAGAGCAGACCAGACTTCGCTTGTATCAACCTTCAATGAGTATTCCTCGGCTCGGCCAAAATCCTTCATGTGTTCCAGCAACACACCTATAGCTAATGCATGTTGCTCAAACTTCTGGTGGATTGTAAACGCCTCTTCGAAGAGCTCTTCCCCAATCGCCACCTGGGCTACATCCTCTCCGTCGTAGTTATCCAAGCGCCTGACATACTCCATGACGCGTCCTGAGTCGGCTTTGATTGCAGTCAGAATAAGCAGATTCTGCAGGTTCGTGTTTCTAGCAAAAGTAGAGTTTGAGGTTTGAAGGACAAGTTTCTCTAACATTTCCATCAGTTTGTCTGGCATATTCGCCGTCATGAAGGCCTTCACAGCCCCTGAAATTTTGTTCGGCTCCCGAGTATCGGGGAGGGCGCCAGAGATAATTTGCTCTACGATCATCTTCCTGTTCTCATTCTCGTCGTCAAGCACCTGCTCATACAACTCGGGACTGCAGCGGTCAACTAAATATCTCGCCTGGTCCTTGAAGAGAGAGTGACGATTTGTGACATCAAGGACTTCTTCATCGCAGTTGCCACGCTTGAATGCAACAAAAGCCAGATATGGGTCTCTCTTTTCGCAGAAGCGACCAACGCTGCGAGAGTCGTAATAAGGATTGGTCTCCAGGAAATGCTCTGGGTTAACGTTGCTCTCGACGTAAACTTTAGCGATTCCAGAATGAACCCCCACATCTGTGGACCCGTCACCAACTCTTGACTCTAGAAATGACAGCAGAAGCTTCAGCTTTCCTCTCTTCTCAACCTCCTCGACTAGTTCCTCCACCGGAACAGTGTTCTTAACAGACATGATAAGGTTTGTGATGAATTCTTCGTCCTGATCCAAGTCAAGCAAGGCTCCTACAGTTGCGGGACACTGAAGCGGATTTACACGCTGGACGTACCCCTCTACGAACTTCAACTGTCGGTTCTTCACCATGAACTTGATCATTTCATCTACGAATCCAAATCGATCGCAGACGTTGATCAAAGGGCGTGGATCTTTCGGCCTTGTCCGCATCAAGTAAGTCTTAACTTTCTCTGGATCAAAAACGTTGGATTCCCGAGTGACCCTCTCCGCTTCCCCAAACTGTCCCAGGGAGCATGCAGCTTCAATAAACTTGAAGTGTACCTCAGGGTCCTCAGAAAATCCGACGATAGCCTGCAAGTAGTAAAATAGGGCATCTTGTTGCTTAACGGCTGAAAAAACGTCCATTAAACGCTCAGCTCCTATGTCATCTGTGTGCTTCGCGGCAACCTGCACGCAAAGTTGAAGATTTGCTCTTGGGTTTGAACCAATGAGTTCCTTAATGCAATCCAATCGATCGTCTGCCGATAGGTTGGAGAAGTAGTTCACGAGGAATTCGGGGTTAATAACATGTGTATTTTGCATAACACGCTTAACGTCCGCCAGGTCTGAATAATTTTCAAGTGCATGCTGGAAAAGACCTGCACGTTCACACAACATCGCGACCTTCGATTTGTCGTAGTGGTGCCAAATATCTTGCTGCAATATTACATCGGCAACCTGGGGCGCATTCATAAGGTTTGCTTCGAGCACCTTAGTTTGGAGTTCCCCATGTTCTTCCCGATCTGATTTCAAATTATCTAAGCAGTACGCTGTTGCTTCTTGCAACATTCCTCTATTCATGAATGTATCAAACATAGCGGCGTGGTCAATGCCACTTCGATCTACGGCCATGTGTGCAGGCACGAGCTGTCCTCCTGCACCTACGCCGGCTTGTTGCAATGCATTTGCTAGTTCCAATGCTGCCTGAGGTGAATGCTGGCTTGCCATGTTCACAAGCTCGGTGGCGTTGACTTCTAAGCCTACCTTTTGAGCATACGGCGCCACCTTAGCAACTTGTCCAATTTGAATGAGAACTTGAATAACCTTTGCATGTGTCTTGGCACGAATGTAGACGGCGAGTGCTAAGTTCGGACTACTCGGGAGAATGAGATCCCCTAGTTGATCCGAGCATTCGAGCTTGTCCTCCTTGAGCCATTTTTCCATAATATTGACGGAATTCTTGGCAACAAGCTGCATACCCAATTCAACAGCTTCGACCTGATTTAGCTTCCCTCGTTCCAGCAATGTCTGGAAGTAAATCAGCAACACTGATCGACCACCGTCATCTGCGGGCACAGCTTTGAATCGAGCAATAGTCTCCGGAGTTCGCAATGAACCCCCTGGAGAATCAGCAGCGACCAATGCCGCCTCGCGATACTTGCCCTCTTCGAAAAGCTCAAAGAAGTGCTCATTGAAAAGGTTCTCCGCTCCCGGAAAACCATTGCGCGACGCACGGCGAGTTGGCATTCGCGCAGCAGGTGCCGGGCGTGCTGACAGGCCCGTTCGCCGAAAGGTACAACGTTGACCGCCAGGACCTTCCCGCGGTTGACTCCAATGAGGCCACCAGTGGCAGTCTGTTGTGCAGTGGTGAACATGGTGGTCTCTGAAACTCTGTTCATATACAATGCACTTCCGCTCTCGAGGTCATACAAATGAACATATCCCATCTTTGTGACAAGATACGCAATCGAGTATTTGCTTGACGCTTGAAGGGCGATAGGGAAATCACCTGACATCTCTGGGGGATAGTAGATATCTTCCATTTTCTTCCCGAATCGTGGGGCACCGGCTGGTTTTTTATCGGCATTCACCTCAATGATATGCATACGGGACACCCCTGCAGCAGTCTTTGAAGCAAACACAAATAGAGTGGTGGGGTAACCCTCGAGGGCTAGAGATGCAAAACAAGCAGCATGTCCCTCAATAGGCTGAGAAATCTTTTTCTCAGTAGAGTAGAGCTGCATATTTCCACTGACACGACCTTCACCGGCGGAAGAAATGCCAACCAGCACAAGCCATTCTTCAGCAGGATCAGATCGATAGTTGATAATCTGAGAGCTGGCCAGCGACGCGTGCCGATCAAACATCTTCACCGGCTCCGACGTGGAGTCACCAGCACTCCAATGGAACACAGCCGCCCCAGTCACAATGCCTAACGTCCTTTCTGAGATCCATTTCCAGAACACGACGGCATCTGGCAAAACAACAGACTTGACCTTTGTCTTCGCATCGAAATCAAATATCTGGAGCTGGTTACCCGCCTTGAGAGCGATTAGGTTAGAAACAGGATTCATTAGGGCTGAATCTGCAGTGATGGGCCTGCGATTCGGTTGAGTTGGATTGGAAAGGTCAATGACGACCAGGCTTCCACCCGATCCCCCAGCGGGTGCCTCGCGAACACAAATCGTGGTGTCAGACTCCATTGTGCATGTAGAGAATGACAGCGACGTGGGCGCAATGCCGATAGAATTGAAGGCCAGGACCTCATCGAGGCGAATGGGTCCGGCCACCATGGCGATGAGAATGTGTGCCTAGCAAAAGCCAAGGTTAATGCGCAAACTAACTGTCAGAATAATTTGGATGCGGCGCCCTGCACACACGCCGTCTACTGAGGTGGCGATGCAGATGGCGCTCGCGTAATCAGAGGAATCGAAGTACAGTCGTTTTCGCCACGAAGTTCAGTGATGATGTTGAAGAAGGTTTGGTGTGCAGACCAATTGTCTGCCAGACGGGATGGTTTTGCACAAGTAAGCCGGCTTTTGGCCTTCCACCATCCCAATGCAATCCTTGCTGCGACGCAGCCGATCCGCCGCTCATATCCAGTGCACGCACCTCTTCCTCAGCGGCCAGTGTCAGACCTGCTGCCTCCCAATTTGCAAACCTCTGCTGCCTATTACTGTAATGAAATCAAATCTGGATCCTGGATCCAGTAAAATCTGGATCCAATGTATGATAACTATATGTGGGCTTCCTCTCCACGACGGCAAGAAGGATTAAGTTTGGGGGGCACATGCCGAACCTCGCGCGTGTCATCCCCGATCGATACGGCAACGAAATTGTTAAATTTCCGCGTGAATTCCGACACACATTTACTCTCATTGAATCATGGGCTCCGAGAAGAAGCGAAAGAGGCGCGAGTCTGAAGGAGTAGTTGAGGAGACCCCTGACCGTCCTGACAAGGCGGAGCGAAAGCGTTTGAAGAAGTTGGCACGTCTGGCAACCAAGGATGACAAGGCCAATGGCTCAGCTCACAAAACCAAAGAGCCGGAAGCCGAGGACGTACCTGAAGTTCCTGCCCTTGTCTCCCCCATCGCTACGCGTACGTACAGAACAGAGTTTGGACATCTACCTCACTCGACGCCAATTTTTGAATGCTGACCTCACTATCCTTGTTGAATCCTAATTTAATTCCGCAGCCATGGCAGGACGTAAACTCACAAAGAAGCTGTTCAAGTTGATCGGTCATGCTGCGAAGGAGAAGGCGATTTGCAGAGGCATCAAAGAGGTAGTTCTTGCCATTCGAAAAAGCCAAAAGGGTGTAGTCATAATGGCAGGTGATGTGTTCCCGATAGAGGTGATCGCTCATCTGCCGGTGGTCTGCGAGGAAGCGAACATTCCCTACTGCTTTGTCTCCAGAAAAACGGAACTAGGGGCGGCGGGGCTTACAAAACGACCAACGAGCGTTGTGATGGTTTCGGAAAAGAAATCAGGAGGTGATGTAAAACAAGAGTTGCTGGAGATTAAGGGAGAAGTAGCTGCTATTCAAAACTTGTTTTAAGTCATGGGATGTGTCACTCGTTTTGTGGATGGCAGAGTAAATATCATTCGATATTCGTCTGAAAGAAAATGACTTCACAATAGCCTCGTGGGACACCATGCTCGCAAGTCAAGATGGCTATAGCGCCTGCATACATGCTACCAAAGCCAGGCATTATTTGGAAAATCTGCACAACCTAATGAAGCCGCGATGATTGCCCCGCTGCCGACGAAGTCCTGTCTGCGTTGCTGGTGGCCTTCATCCACAGTCACAAACAATCGACCAGGCACGGTTGGACAGTGCCGACACTTTACTGGACTGATATGTGCCTGAGTTTGAAAACTTGCTGCCAAAAACCTGAAAAATCATCAAAACACTTTACAGTTGCCTTCATTGCTGTAGTTTCACCATCCTTGACATGATAGAGAAGGGAGGAAGGGCACAGCGCCCAGTTGCACCGCAGCGCTTGGCAAAACAGCTGTGCCCGTGGACGAGTAGTTGGAAGTCAACTAGAGTTGACCACAGCGCTGAGCCTTCTTTCCCATCTGAGCTTCCCGTGCTGTCGTCATCACAAGGCAGAAAGAAGATCTTTCTGACTGCCAGAACGTTTTCATTCAGCGACATCACAATACAGCAAGCTCTCACCTCTCGAAGCTCGTTGCTCATCCCTCCTCCTTCTCTTGACTTGTCGCTTTCTATCACCTTGCGTTTCCTATCTTGCTCTCATGACCGCAGCATTTCAACTTCATCACTCTTTGGCACGCAACGCGAGAGCGCATACAGCGCATGCCGTGTCGCTGGATGAAGCAAAGAAAGGAAGTGAGGCCCTTGCCGCCTATGACAAAGCCGCTGAACTTTTGACATCATACCTCCATTCATTTTCGCCTGGAGCTCTGGCGTTTTCAAAACTGGCTCCCGCAGAGCAACGCTTGGTTGCGCAAACCAAAGCCTCCCTGTCGAAGCATTTGCAAAGCGTCGAGGACCGAAGAAGTGTTCTGCGCAGCAGTAGCGGGGCAGTCGCGGGTTCTTCATCCGCCCGACCATCGACTGTTGATCGCAATGACCCACTCGTCAAGGCGATTGAATCAGAAATCCTCGATAGCGGCACAAAAGTGCAATGGGACGATATTTACGGACTGGAAGACGCGAAAAAGGCTTTGCACGAGATGGTCGTCCTTCCAACTTTAAGACCGGACTTGTACAGCGGTCTACGTGCACCCGGGAAAGGAATTCTTCTTTTCGGACCGCCTGGGACTGGCAAAACACTAATCGCAAAAGCGGTCGCCACCAACGCAAACGCCACCTTCTTCTCTATTTCTGCTTCAAGCCTGAACAGTAAGTTTCACGGAGAATCCGAAAAACTGGTCAGAACGTTATTTCAAGTGGCAAGACACAAACAGCCTTCTTTTGTGTTCATCGATGAGGTAGATTCAATCCTCGGAGCGCGCTCGGAAAACGAACATGAAGCTTCGCGGCGACTGAAGACGGAGTTTATGGCGCAATTCGATGGTGCTATGGGCGGTTCTACGGAGGACAAAGTTTACGTCATGGCAGCGTCAAACCGCCCCCAGGACTTAGATGATGCTGTTCGAAGACGGCTCGATCGAAGAATTTATGTACCACTACCAGACGTAAGTGGCCGCAAGGAATTTCTGAGCAAGGTCACAACAAGAAATCGGGATGTACGGTGGAATTTATCGGCGGCCAACCTTGAAGCTATCGCTCGAAAAACAACAAATTTCTCCGGGTCAGACATGAAGGCACTGTGTAGAGAAGCTTCTTTGATGCCACTGCGAGAGTTAGGATCACGCGTGTCGAACATAAAGGTTAACGAGGTCCGAGCTTGCGGCGTGAATGATTTCGAACAAGCTCTCCGCATCGTGCGACCTTCAAGCAACAAGTCACAGATTCAGGAATTGGAAGCGTGGAATACGCAGTTTGGCTCTCAAAGCAAGAAACCCATTGTCAAAGCCCAGAAGCCCCAGGCGCAATCTTCTGCGCGCACGCAGGACCTGGCGTCAGGAGGTTCATCTACGGTGGTTCGCAGTTCAACTGCGGTCACAAAACGACAGCCAAGCTACACAATTAAGCGCTCCACGACTTCTACATCAGATATGTTGAGTATGCTACTATTTGGTGGGAAACGTAGGTAACAATAAACAGTTAACATGTCGGGATACTTATACTGAAACACAAGCCAAAGTCGTCATCTCAATCAATCGGAAATGACGAGGCTTCGCCAACCCTGGCAGCACCCGCTGATGGGCCACGTCAGCCGATCAGTTCGTATTTCGAGAGCTGCACTGATTGCAGCGCTCGTGACAGAATTTCGATTTCGCACAGTGACCGCTAATGTAAAGTATAGCAAACGGACAGAACCGATTGTTGCATGACGAGTTGTTAGTTTCGCAAAAGTGAAAAGGACGTGGGCTTCATTGAATCTGTCGCTGTGAAGCGCCCACGGAATTGGTGCTTACTGCCAGAGGTCCACAGCGGCATCCGTGCACAGCAGACTCGAAGCGATTTGTCATGTGAACAATTTCACGACTCGGCGGGAGGGGATTCAAAAAAGTAGTGCAAGTGTGGGAAGCTAGAAATTGGAGTTTATTTGGTTAGCCCTAAATCTGGGAAAAGGGGAAAATTATCCGCGCGCCGCGCCGGCGGGAAATCCGGCGATATTAAAGTCCGAGGGCGGTATCCCGGCCGGCCCTCGGGGGTAACTTGCTACCCGATCAGAGTGCCCCGTTAGAGTCTCGAGACTCTCCGTCCGAGGTATCCCCGTCCCCCTCACTCTCGCGACTCCTTTTCCCCGCCACTGCGCGCGACGAGCGCGGCTACTACTAACCTCACCGTTCCCGTTCTCCCACAGTTATGGGCCCAGGGGGAAAGATGAGTAAACTATCAGGAGACTTCGATCCGCCCTTGTTCGCCGCCAATGGCGATGTAGAAGCCTGGCGCAAAAAGGTTGGACAGTGGGCCGACTCACTTAAAGTCGCCCACGATCAAGGCACGGATCGCACTTTTCAGACAATGTTCAAGCTTCTGGGACCCACGCTCTATGAGCGCGGGCTCCCAGAAGCTCAGAAGGCGATTGTCGATGAAGCCCGGGTCTAAAGGACAGCTCGACTATCTTCAGATGGATGATCCCGCGCAAGCGGCACTACCTCTAGCCGTGGAAACGCACCTAGAGGCAGTGGCAAGAGGCAACTGTCTTCAGACCACGAAACCCAGTCCATTTGCTATGACTGCGGGGAGCGTGGTCACTACAGAGGAGCAACCGAGTGCAAGGAACCCAGCGCCTTCACCAAGAAAAAGAGGACGTGCCGGGACCTCGGTGACGGGGGCTCCGGAGCGTACTCCTCGTTTTTTCGGAGAGGCTCCAGCGGCTCGTCAAACCGGCAAGCCTAATCAGCCACCCCGGAGTCACCTCGGATATTAATCCGAGATTTCCGGATCCAAATCCCATTATAGATCCGGTATGTCCCAGAAGTGTTGGAGGAATTGCTTGCGCCGCAGCGCTTTGCACTGCCATGAACATTCCTTTCAAACTGTAGTACAATTGCGCGGAGGCGACGGCGCCACCGCTGCTGCCCCGGCATACAGTGATCTCGGGTGTAAGCGCCAGCACAACCGTAAGGAGTTGTATTTACAGCTGGTGGCCGGTGCGGAGAACAGTAATACTCCACCAGCTACACGTGTGTAATCCGTACGGTCATAAATAGTAATTAGTAGTTAATGGCACAAATTTATTAATTGTGTACAGTAGCTGGTATACAGTAAGTAACTGCTATTGTAGCGGGACAGGTGTCCTGGCGTCCCACTTAGGGGTTAAGACCGGGGGCACCTGCCCCGTCCCAGTAAAGAGGAGGCAGACTCGCCTCCCTTCCCTTTACGGCTAAGTGCTAACACCGTTCCGGTTTTCCTTTAGCTCGGGCTTCTAACCCGTGACCGGCCGTCCGGGTATAACACCACCGACCGGCTGCGCGTCACCGGCCACGTGAGCCTTCCTTCTTTTCGAGTCCATCCGTACGGTTTTTATGCGCGCGTGGGTAACCCAGCGTCGCGTGCTCCCTCACCTCTAACCCCCCTCGTTCCGAGTGGTCGGGACGAAGGTAGTTATACCACATTTTGGTACTCTTGTGGAGGTATAACTTAGAGGTTGAGCCCGCACTGGATTGCCAGCGCGAGCAATTACCGATCGGATTGAAAGAGGTCGAAAATCACCGCGTCGATCGCCAGTGATCATCGACAATGAACCGTGCGGATACCGCCGGAGAAGATACCGCCTCCGGGCGAGCAAGTACCCGCAGTGGCAGAGGCGCACAGCGCCCCCGGATTGACAATCCGGAAGCCCTGCTACGCCCGCCGTCTACTAGGGGCCAGAAGACCCCTTTCGTTTCGGACACCACGGCCGGGCTACCGGCTGGTGGGGGAAACCGCGTACAAGTACTGTACGACGCGTTACTCCCGCGATTACAAACCTGGATGGAGGAATTCCTCGCTGAGGAATTACCTCAGGTCGTCCAGGTTTGCCTCGACCGAACGGTACCGGGGCTGGTGGCGGAGCAAGCGGACGCCGCGCTCCGCGCCCTGCTGGACGAGAAGATCGCCCTCCTCATACGCGACAAGGTGGTGGCCGCGCTCGCCGCGGAGGAGGACGAATCTCCCACCGCATTGGCTCTAAAGGGAGCTATTAGCTCCGCCGTGGCCATTCGTCTGGCCACGACATTTACAACCGAAACGGGAGGCGCGGCACCGCCGCTGGCGCCGCGCCATGAAACCGTTCCGGGCTCAAGCAATTATATCGCTGATCCGATCGGCGCCGTACCCGGGATTGATAGGATGGACCCTCACCCGGATGGTAGAGCCATCTATCTCCCAACCGTTCACGGTGCTACAGGGAGGACTACAGAAAATGTCCTCCCCATACTCGCCGGTACAGGTGACCCCCGCGGGACAGAAAACCGCCTGGGGCTCCCCGAGACAGAAAATCGGGACCCGTACCGGTTGAGCACAAGACGTGCACCCGGCACGCGCAGAACCGAAGCGGAATACACCCGGTATTCCGACGCAGAAGACCCCCGTCACAGGACGGATGAAAACCGCGAGGAACGCCGCTGGCGATACCGCGATAACCGCGAGGCACGCCACGGGCGATACCGCGATGCTGGAGGGGGAGGATACCCCTCCGATGACGACCAATCCGGTTCGGATGGTTCTCGCATGCGGGGTCACAGGGCACGCCGCGATAGGAGCCGGGACCGTCACCGGCAAGAACCGTCCGACTCGGAAGACTACAGTACCGAGTCGGGTGGGGAGCGTTGTCGCTCAAGCAGACTCCGCCGGGCTGCTCCAAGGGGCGACGAGCGACGGCCTACGGTAATCAGGCCGCTCAATGACCTGTTTACCAAGGCCGTCAACTACAAGACCTACCGCCTGAAACGGCGTAGCTCGCGCTGCGACTGTACAGTAGCGCGGCACATTAACCGTTACCGGAAGAAACTGGACGTGCAGATGAGGTCCCACACGTTCAGTGGTCAAGATCCGATTGCGGTATTGGGATTCCTCGCACGCCTCAAGATGGCGTGCGACCACAACGGTATCACCGAGGGAGCCGCCGTGTGGTGCTTCCAATTCTACCTCACCGGTCAGGCTCATGCCCTACTCCAGTCCCGTCTCAATGGAAATACCATGGCGGTTGACGTGGAGCGGTGCGAACTGCTCAGGACGTACCCGCAGGTTGTCAACTTTTTGTTGCGTACCTATGCGACCGATGAGGTAATTTCCGAAGCGGTTGGTGACGCGACCTCCTTCCGTCAAAGTTCGAACATGACGGAGGAGGTCTACAGTAACCACCTCTGGGACAAGGCCCTCCGATGCGGTACGGTATTCTCCGACCTGCGGTTGAAGTCCCTATTCGTCGAGGGGTTACTTCCCACCACGTGCGCGCAGGTCCGCAATTACCTCGCTACGCACCTGGATGTGGATTCCCAATCCGTGGCTCGATACGCGCAAGCGATCGGGGAAACCAATCGGGCTTCCCGCCGGCAGGGGATGTCAGCCATGGCATCCCGGGAGCCGTCCGGAGCGGCCAGAAGATTCGAACGTACCGCCAGGACACGGCCCGTGCTGTCGGTTGAGTCGGCATCCGACATCCCGACAGCTGGAGGATCCGTGGCAAAAGAAATCTTGGCCGTCACGGACCACACCGCGACGCTGAGCTCGTTAAGCTCGCCGCCGACGAGTTATTACCCGTCGCCGGCAGCCTCGACATCAGGCGCCGCGGGTCCGCCCGCCAACCCGGGCGATGTGCGCGCAGGACCGTACGGGAGGCAGGGGCAGAACCCACGGGTCCGGTTCTCCAGTGGGGGATTCCCCGGACCGCCGCCGTGTCGGTTCTGCCTTGACACTACGCACCGACAAGAGGAGTGTCCCGTCGTTGCCGATGCGGGCCTGCGGGCCGAGCTTCTGGAGGCACGAGAAGCCAACTACCAGAAGCTTCGCATCCGGCAGGGCCTCCGTCCGGGATCCCCATTCAACCGCCAGGGGCCGTCCGCTTGGAGAAACCAGCGTCCGACGACCCCCGCGGGCGTGAACGTGATAGAAGAGCCGCACCACGGCCCTACTGAAGACCACGTGGTGCAAGCCGCGGAGGAAACCCGCGAAGACCTGCTGCTCACGGGGGAAGCCGGGGAGAACGCGTAGAGGCGACGACGTCTCTCCCCGTACCAAGCCTCAGAAGCTCAGGCACCCCCGAACCGGTTGCGCCAGTGGAAGCGCAACCGGGGAACCGAACGGAAATCCGGGCCATCTGCTTCTTCAAGAAGCAGAATTATAAGGTTTCCGCCACGGTTGGCCAAAAGCAGGCGTTGATGGTCGCCATCACGCCAGTGCTCGACTCAGGAGCCGGCCCGAACCTCATCCATTTGCGGTGTGTCGCCGAGTCATGGCGACCGTCGATAAAACCGGTTCGGAGCCCAGCGCTCATTGACGCGTCAAACCGCGCAATGAAAGCTCTAGGAGAGATCTCCTTGTTTGTCCGTATCGGAGAATTTATCGCGCGCATCCCGTTCTTGGTGGTGACGAGCCTCGCCGTGGACTGTATCCTCGGTACGACCTTTCTCGATCGCCACGTCAAGGCGATCCTCCCACCGCAACGGAAGGTCGTGTTCCACGACGCGCC